AACAACAACAATGAAGGAAATGATAACATGATTTATAAACAAAATGAGTTCAGTACAGAAAATCATATGGAACAAAGAAACCAGCAATACCATGAAAAAGCACGTAACAAAATGACAGCAACCAATTCTTACTTGTTGATAATTATGCTGAATGTCAATAGAATAAATGCACCACTCAAGAGACAGAAAGTTGCAGACTGGATAAGAAAACACAACCCATCAATATGCTGTCTACAAGACACACACCTTAGAGACAAAGACAAAAATAGATTAAAAATCAAAAGTTGGAAAAAGATATATCAAGCAAATGGCAACTGTAAGAGAGCAGGAGTGGCAATATTAATTTCTGATCAAATTGACTTTAAGACAAAAATCACCATAAGAGACAAGGAAAGACATTATATAATGATTAAAAGATCATTCAAACAAGAAGATATATCCATAATAAATATTTATGGTCTCAAGGAATGAGCCCCAAAATACATAAATCAGACTTTAACAGAATTGAAAAAACAAATAGATGACCCCACAGCCATAGTAGGAGACTTTAACACACTACTTTCAATCAAAGATAGAATAACTGGAAAGAAATTCAACACAGACACAGAAGACCTAAACAAGACAATCCACGAACTTGACCTTATAGACATCTACAGAGCAATTCACCTAACAGTAGCACAATATCCATTCTTTTCCAGTGCACATGGAACATTCTCCATGATAAGCCATATGTTAGGCCATAAAGCAAACCTTAACAAATTTAAAAACATTTAAATACTGCAAAACATCTTCTAAAATCAGAATGCTATAAAATTAGAAATCAACAGTGGGAAGACAAATGGAAAAAGAGCAAATACATGGACACTGAACAACATCCTCCTTAAGAACAACTGGGTAATAGAAGAAATAAAAAATGAAATTAAAAATTCCTTGAATCAGAGAATGAAAACAACATACCAAAAATCTTTGGGACACAGCAAAAGCAGTGATCAGAGACCAATTTATTTCAATAAATGCATACATCAAAAAAGAAGAAAGAGCCAAAATCAACACTTTAAATGAACATCTCCAACAATTAGAAAAAGAATAGCAAGAAAAACCTACAGTCACCAGAAGAAATGAAATAATAAAGATTTGAGTGAAAATAAATGAAACAAAACAGAAGGACAATAGAAACAGTCAATAAGACTAGAAGTTAGTTTTTTGAAAAGATTATTAAAATTGTCAAACCACTGGCAAATTTAACAAAAGAAAAGATGGAGAGAATACAAATAACACAAATAAGAAATGAAATGTGAAATGTTGTGACATCACAACAGAACCAACTGAAATAAAAAGGATATCAGAATACTATGAAGAATTGTACTCCAATAAATTCGAAAATCTAGAAGAAATGGACAGATTCCTAGAAACACACTACTTACCTAAACTAACACAGACTGAGGTGGAAAAGTTGAACAGATCCATAACAAAAGAAGAAATTGAACAGGTTATAAAAAAATTACCCACAAGAAAAATCCTGGCCCAGATGGTTTTACTGGAGAATTCTACCAAACATCAGAGAAGAACTGACACCAATCTTATTCAAACTGTTCTGAAGCATAGAAAAGGATGGAATGCTCCCAAATTCATTTTATGAAGCAAGCACAACCTTGATACCAAAACCAGGAAAAGACATCACTAAAAAGGAAAAATATAGACCAATATCTCTCATGAATATAGATGCAAAAATCTTCAACAGAATCCTAGACAATAGATTCCAACAATATATCAAAAAAATAATTCATTATGACCAAGTGGGGTTCGTATCAGGTAAGCGAGGATAGTTCAACATTAGAAAACCAATCAACATCATCCATCACATTAAAAAGAAAAAGAAAAAGTAAAGAACTATATGATCATATCAATATCAATTGATGCAGAAAAGGCATTTGATAAAATCCAACACCCATTCCTGATGAAAACTCTCAGCAAAATAGGATTGCTGTTGTTGTTATGTGCCGTCAAGTTGGACCTGACTCATAGGGACCCCTCCTTGGGTTTCCGAGGTAGAATCACTACAGAAGTAGATTGCCCAACCTTCCTTCCAAGGAGTGGCTGGTGGGTTTGAACCACCAGCCTTCTGGTTACCAATCAAATGCCTTAGGCACTACTCCACCAGACCTCCATAGGGGCAAATTTAGGACCACTAATATAGAGAAGATTGGGCAATCTACTTCCATAGAGATACTGCCTCAGAAAGCCAACGAGGGGTCACTATGAGTCAAATTGACTTGATGGCAGTGAGTTTTTGGTTTGTTTCATATATGGCATAAATAGGCTATCAAGCAAAAACCAAAATGCACAAACAGCAGAAGAGAAACTAGATGCATGGGCTGTCTAAAAATTACATTTTTATGTACTTCACATGACTTCTCCAAAAGACTCAAAGGAACCTACAGATTGGGAAAAAATATTTTTCAATGAAATATCTGACAAGGGACTTATCTCTAAAATTTATAGAAAACTCCAACACCTCAACAACAAAAGAGAAATTAAAAAATGAGCAGACATGAATAGACACCTCACCAAAGAAGATATTCAGGTGGCCAACAAACACATGAAGAAATGCTAATGATCATTAGTCATTAGAGCAATTTGCATTAGCCATACAAACCAAAACAGCAATGAAATATCATCTTGCCCAACACTAGTAGCAAAATTCAACAAGACAGGAAATAACAAATGCTGGTGAGGATATGGAGAGATTGGGACTCTGATACACTGCTGGTGGGACTGTCAAATGATACAACCATCATGGAAAGCAATATGGGGATTCCTTAAAAAGTTGGAATTAGAAATATCATTTGACCTAGCCATTCCATTACTAAGTATATATCTTAAAGAAGTGAAAGCCATGAAAAGAACAAATAGATGGACACACATGTTCATTGAGGCACTATTTACAATAGCAAAAAGATGGAAACAGCCTAGGAGTCCATCAACTGAGGAATGGATAACCAAACTATGGTACACACACACAATGGAATACTACACAACCCTAAAGAATAATGTAGAATCTGCAAAACACTGCATAACATTATGCTGAGTGAAATAAGTTAATCACAGACGGACAAATATTGTATTGTCCGTTACTGTAAAAAATCAAGGAAAGGTTTGTATATGGAAGGGATTTTTTTGTTTGTTTGCTACTGTGGGGGGGGGGGGAGGTGAGGAGAGGGAGCACTGTTACATACATAGAGACAAGTACTGATTTGGATGAAGAGAAGTACAATGTACCAAATGTGAGTGATCAACACAGTGGCTTTGAGGAAGAGGAAGACATAGAGAAGTGTATGGGAATTACAGGCAACAAAGATGAACTCTTTTGCATATACAGTACTGCTTTGTCAGTGAAGGCAAACATTGTTCTATGCATGGATAGATGGGTGGACAGGCTGGACTATTAGGTATATCTATGCAGAGGGGAGTGTGCTCATGACCATGTATAGGGTTGGCAGACTGTTTCTACTAGTGTGTTTGTATGTTCTATAAGAATTTCCAGGTATGTAGTAGAACTAACAAGGGACAAATTTGTAGTTGCTTCTTGGCCATAGCCAGATACCCAGAGGGAGTCAGTAGTTGGAACTGTGGGCTCGGGACCACAGTTGCAGGGGACATCAAACTCAACTGACATAACATACTACACAAAAACATTCTTGCACATCCTGCTTTGGCAAGTAGCAACTGGGATCTTAGAAGCTTTCAAGTGGCCATCTAGATGCAATGATGGGTCTTTCCTCATCCAGAACAACGAAGAATGAAGAAAACCAAAGACACATGGAAATAATTGGTCGATGGAACTGGTACACCTCAGCCTATGTGACTATGAGATCAGAAGAATTAGTTGGTGCCTGGCTATCACTGTCAACCACTTGGAGGGAGATCTATGTAGGAGATCCTGGATAGGGTGGGAGAATGATGTGTAACAAAACTCAAAATCCTTAAAAAAAAAAGGGGGGGGGGACCATATTTGCTGCTCTGATAGAGCCTGATGGCACCACTGAGACTATGGCCTTCAGCTGCCCTTCAGGTCTGGAATTGAACCCACTCTTGTGGCTTCTAGCTAAATAGGGGACAGGCATATGAGCTGAACAGTTACATCAGGTGGATACACTCCTTGGAGAGATCAATCATGGGAGAATGGAAGGGCTGTGTATACACAGGGAGACAGTTCTCGGGGCAGGAGTGCACTGGAGGAAAGGACACAGGGAAGAAGTAGCTGTGAGGAGGAAGTGAGAGGGGAGCTGTTGCATTGTGTGAAATTGCAGTCAATGTCATGAGACAAAGTGTATGTGGGCTGCTCTGTGATGCTCTGTGAACTTTCACCTGTGAGGCCTGAGTCCTAATGGCCTCCAGGTAATTCTTTAACCAGAAGCCTTTAGTGCCAGGAATTCTAACACGTCCCATGCCTCAGGGCTTTTTTCTCCCCTCCGGATTCCAGCATGTATCAGAGATTTACCTGGTTCCTGTAAGTCTCCCATGCATCAGGGCTTTACATCCTCCCTAGATAATGATTCCCTAACCAGACTTTAAGGCCGGGGGATTCCAACACGACCCCCCATGTCTCAGAGCTCTGCCCTAAACCCCTTAGCAACAACCAATCATCTGTACCACTTTTGCCCTGGTGCTACTCCACCCTATATTTTTCCTATAAAAATGTAGTAGTAAGAGAGCACAGGGTCTTTTGCCCAAGCTGCTGCGTCGGTGTAAGCAGGGACCCTAGCTCGAGCTAGCAAATAAAATTTCCTTTTGCTTTTGCATTATCATGTCAGTGGTGGCTTCCTCGCACTGACACTCCTTTCCGAACATGGGCTCAACATTTGGTGCATTGGCCGGGAAGGAAAATTCGGAATGAGTGAAGCTGCCTGCGATAGAGGGAAGTTCAGGAGGCCGGCTGGGCCAGAATACGTCCTTTGCATAAGGATACTGGGCCATCAGGAAAGGCTGGACACCGGTGGATGCGTCGGAGGAGTTGGGGAAGGAGCCCTTCCCCAACTATCAGGCTAGCTGTGGGCGCTTTTTGGTAAGAGTAGCCCCCTTCAGGGGAAGGGCGGAGGCACCTCCAATCTGTGGAACTGGAATGAGATCTCTTCTGGGTGTCAGATATTTGTGTTGTCTGCTTTGGTGTCTCTTGTTGTGTGGCCACTTGTCTTTTATTTGTTCTGTGTTTTCTTAAAGGAGGTTGAAATGGGACAGGGACAGACTACCCCTCTGTCCCTCATGGTTGAACATGTTTCAGAGTTTAAAACCAGAGGATCTAATTTGTCTGTGATAATTAAGAAAAATAAACGAATAACTTTTTGCTCTTCAGAATGGCCCTCTCTTAAGGTAGGATGGCCTCCAGAAGGCTCATTGGATGGAAAAGTGATCACAGCCGTATTCGAACGAGTCCAAGTGCCAGGCCCCCATGGGCACCCGGACCAATTTCCTTACATTCTAGTGTGGCAATATATGGTGACTAACCCTCCCCCATGGCTAAAACCTTTTCTTCCGAATCTCTCTGTTAAGGTGTTAACATCCTCACTCGGGACTAGCAAAAAGGAGAAACCGAGATGACCTGAGTCCCGAGCAGCCATTCCACTGGTTTTGTCTGATTCTCAAACTTACCCCGATCTGATAGATCTAGAAAGTGGCGTATCTCCACCTTCCCATGCCCCTATGCCACCTTCCCACCCTCTCCAGGCTCCACAAGTATCAGGAGGAAGTGGAGCGAGCCCAGCCTCCGGTCTCCACCCACACCAGAGGGGCTCCCAGGAAGCTGAAACTCCATCGTCTACTGTCCAGGCGCTGCCCCTCAGAGTGATAGGCCCACCCCGTGAGGACGGAAGCAGAACCTGGCAGTACTGGCCGTTTTCAACATCAGACCTGTATAACTGGAAAGTGCAGAATGCCCCCTTTTCTGAAACCCACCAAAGCCTAATTAATTTGTTAGATTCTATATTGTTTACTCATAACCCCACTTGGGATGATTGTCAGCAGCTATTGCAGGTTTTGTTCACCACTGAAGAAAAAGAGAGAATCTTGATCGAGGCCAGGAAAAATGTGCCCAGAGACAATGGGCAGCCAACAACGCTTCAGAATTTAATTGACGCTGGGTTCCCGTTATCTTGTCCTGGTTGGAATTTTGAGCAACCAGAAGGTAAGGAGCATCTCCAAAAGTACCGCCAGATTCTAATGGCTGGTCTCTGAGCAGTGGCAAAGAAGCCGACTAATTTGGCCAAGGTAAACTCAGTCAGGCAGGGGCCGACAGAGAGCCCTGCAGCATATCTAGAGAGGTTGATGGAAGCGTTTAGACTGTATACCCCTACGGATCTGCAAGCCGATGAGAGTAGAGCAGCAGTGGTCCTATCTTTTGTAAACCAAGCAGCCCCTGATATCAGAAGAAAGCTTCAGAAGATAGATAGATTAGGTGAGCAGACCCTACAGGACTTAATGAAAGTAGCAGAAAAGGTGTATAATACTAGAGAAACCCCAGAAGAAAGGGAGGAAAGAATACGGAGGGAGGAAGGAGCATTCCAAGCTAAAGAGAATAAACAAAATCAGAAGGAGTTAGCAAAAATTTTCTTTGCTGGAGCTCAGAGGGACATAGGGAAAGGGAGAGGAAGGAGACCAGACCAACATGACAGGCCCCACCGAGACCCACCCCTGGCCCTGAACCAATGTGCATTTTGCAAAGGGACTGGACACTGGAAGAATGAATGCCCAAAGAAAGAGAACAAAAAATATGAAAAGCCTGCTCCTGTTAGAACGTTGGTGGCAGGCGAGGACAGTGACTAGGGGAGACGGGACTCAGAACCCCTCCCTGAGTCTTGGGTAACCTTGAAGGTGGAGGGGAAGCCAGTAAAGTTCCTGGTAGATACAGGGGCTCAGTACTCCATCCTCAATAAGAAGGAAGGAACGATTTCTTCAAAAACTAGCCTGGTCCAGGGGGCAACAGGGGTGAAGCGGTATCATTGGACAACGCAGCAACAAGTGAACCTGGGAATTAAACAAGTGTCCCATTCATTCTTAATTGTACCTGACTGTCCTGCACCGCTGTTAGGAAGAGACTTATTATCCAAAGCCCAAGCCCATATATTCTTTCACAAAAATGGTGTCCAGGTTACTGATGGGGAAGGTTCCCCTCTACACATCCTGACAGTCACCTTACACGATGAATACTGCTTGTATAAAGATGTAGAAGACCAACATGCAAGCCTAACGGATATGGTTCTGTGGCTGGAAGAGTTTCCCCAAGCCTGGGCAGAGACTGGAGGAATTGGACTGGCGAAACATCGACCACCCATTATTGTGGACTTAAAACCCTCTGCCATACTGGTAAGAGTCCTACAGTATCCCATGCCCAGGGAAGCCTGGGAAGGCATATAACCCCATATCCAGCGGCTGTTATGGGAAGGGGTACTAAAGAGGTGCTGGTCTGCATTGAATACACCCCTCCTACCACTGGTAAAGAAACTGGGGGGGGGGAATACTGGTCGGTGCAGGATCTGAGGGAGGTAAATCGCCGAGTTGAAGACATACATCCCACAGTCCCTAACCCTTACATGCTGCTCAGCAATCTTCCTCCAGATCATGTGTGGTATACTACCCTGGACTTGAAGGATGCTTTCTTTAGCCTTCCCCTAGCCCCGCAGAGTCAAGACATTTTTGCCTTTGAATGGTTTGACAAATCGGATAAAGTCCTCGGCCAGCTGACCTGGACAAGGTTGGTCCAAGGGTTCAAGCACTCGCCTACTTTGTTTAACGAGGCCTTGAGTGATGACTTACATGTGTACCGGGGTCAAAACCCGCAAGTAACTTTACTACAATATGTGGATGACTTGTTAATAGCAGCCCCCGACCGGGCAGGGTGCCTTGAAGCAACCAGGAAACTGCTCACCACTCTGGGAGAGCTGGGGTATCGAGCTAGTGCCAAGAAAGCTCAGATAGCTAAGCCAGAAGTCACATACTTGGGGTACAAGTTGAGAGCTGGGCAGAGGTGGCGCACTGAAGCCATGAAACAGACTATCCTACAGATTCCCTGACCCACAAGCCCGAGGCAGATAAGAGAATTTTTAGGAACAATAGATTATTGCCGGCTGTGGATTTTAGATTTCGCCACAAAAGCGAAGTCACTCTATGAGCTCAGTAGAGAAGGGTCAGAGTGGAACTGGACTCCAGAGAGGGACTCAGCTTTTAAAGAACTTAAGGAAGCACTCCTTAAAGCCCCAGCATTCACATTACCTGACCCCACTAAACCATTTCATCTGTTTGTCGATGAGAAAAAAGGAATAGCCAAGGGGGTCCAAATACAACAACAGGGGCCATGGAGGAGGCCAGTAGCATACCTCTCAAAGAAATTGGATCTAGTAGCAGCAGGATGGCCCCCTTGTTTGAGAATTATTGCTGCCACCGCTCTGCTTGTTAGAGATGCAGATAAGTTAACCCATGGACAGACTTTGAAAGTAACCACTCCCCATGCCATTGAAGGAGTGCTCAAACAGCCTCCGGGGAAATGGATAACCGACACCAGATTAACTCCTTATCAGAGTCTATTACTTGACACTCCAAGGGTACAATTCTTAGCTCCAACAGTTTTAAACCCCACCACCCTGTTGCCTAACCCTGACCTAGATAAGCCTCTGCATGACTGCTCAGAAATACTCACAGAGGTAAATATGGTCACAAAGGACTTGCAAGACTGCCCGTTGGAAAACAGTGACTTCATCTGGTTCACGGATGGAAGCAGTTTCACACAGGATGGACTAAGGTATGCAGGGGCTGCGGTGGTAGACAACTGGGAGGAAATTATTTGGGCCGATGCTTTACCGCCAGGAATTTCTGCTCAGAAAACTGAACTTATTGCCCTGATGGAAGCATTGGAAAGGGCAGAAGGAAAGAGGCTAACAGTCTATACTGACAGCCTGTACGCGTATGTGGCTCTTCATATACATGGCGCCATCTACCGGGAGTGTGGATTCAGAAACACAGAAGGAAGAGAAATAAAGAACCAGACAGAAATCCTTCGCTTGTTGTCAGCTGTGACCCAGCTGTGAATGGTAGCGGTGGTTCACACCCCGGGACATCAGAGGGGACACTCCCTTGAAGCAAGAGGCAACTGAGCAGCGGACCAGGCAGCTAAGAGAGCTGCCCTCCAAACGGTACGAACTTTAGTAACTAACTTACCTTGCCCGCAACTGGAACCCCTGCTCCCTACTCCCAACTACTCTGAAGACATACAGTGGGCTGAGAAATCGCCACAGATA